AACTCAAAAATCTTAATCCTTACAAATGGTAACACTTTTGCTACCCTTGTAATTTCAACATACTCTTCAAAAAAGTGAGTAGGAACATTTTGTTTCAAAAATTTAATCATGAGTAATATGTTATAGCTGTTTATTCTTTCTTATAAATATAAAAGTCAGAAGAGAAGAACCCAAAATTTACAATGTGTCCCAAACTGCATTGAACAAGGTAGCTTGCCATTTATTTTTGTACAACTATGCAGTTATACTGGGAACAAAGCCTGTTCTGAGTAGATCCACAGGCCTGACTTGGCATTTAGTCAGGCCCAACGTTCATGTAACACTGGAGTGTACTTGTACAGTTTTACACCAGTACACTTGAGTAGGCCTGAGTTTTCAAAGAAACATTTAAGCACCATTACACTCCTAGTCAATGGCATATTTAGAAGTAAAAATAATTTCAGAGCAGTCACAAGAAGCTATATTCTGAGTTTATACAAAATTGAGTTAACCTAAGAGCACAAATCCAGGCATTAGTGGTATCAAAAGAGTTAAAAATTTAGTATATAGCACATTGAGCATGCATGCCATTTCTATTCTTTTTTCAAATAGTTAAAAGTGTATGTCTAGAATAAAATTCAAATCAAATGTTTGTGGCTCCGTGAAGCACTTTGCAGAATTCCTCTGGTGTCTGGCACAGTGCCTGGCACAAAATCAGTAATAAATATTTGTTGACTGAATATAAATTCTGGTTTGAAAATTCATTGGCATAATATATTAAATGCTTCTCAAGACTCCCTCAACCTCTCAAAGGAGGCAGCATAGGAAACAAAGTCATTCTGAGGTATCTGCCCTTGGTACCTAACCACTTAACGCTTACTTTTCATGACTACTCTGCAGGGGAGGTTTTTACATGTGTAACTGCAGAGCTGTAAAAGAGGTGCTCTCATCCCAATATGATAGCTTAAAAATAAAAACAAAATAAGACTTGTCAGTGTCTGTTAGTGGTCAAGGTATGGAACTGAGTGTCAGAACCTGGACCATTGGGCCACCAAACCCAGGCTTCCCCTCCTCCATCTCTCTGTCGTTGGCTCTCTCCACCTACCCCTTCATTTTCTCTCTCTCCCACAAACTGAAAGCTACATATAATTGAAAAGTGACTTGGTCTGAGAGATTTTCAGAAAAAGTCATCATGGTTTGTAGTTGTACTTACTCAAATATAAAAGAATTGAAATAAAAATGTATTTGTCCAATATAATAAAAATATAAATATGGTATATCTATACATTACATGTATATAAGTTCCTTAAGGCTTGGCCTCAAGTACCCTTCTCATTTTATCAGAGCATTTCACAGCAAGAGGCCTTTTCTATTCAGAAATGAACATTATCTTCTTCCCTCTGTAACTTTTGTTTAAAGGAAGTTGCTTGAATGCTTTCTTCCCCCAGAAAATGGAGAGGGTACTAACCAAATAAACATACAGCATTAAAGTTGCCCTGCTGATAATTTTGCTAAACCTCTGAAAAATCATCTCTGTTGCATAAATAAGTCTGGAGACAATAGTCAAGGATCAGCGTTTCCCAGCACATAAAGTAGGCTTTGTCCAGTGGATGTTTTCCTTGGGTTTTTTCTCTTTGATAGAGGGTAACAAAAGTATAGCTTTCCCACTTTGTCCCAGGGATGGGGGTTTGAAGTCTATTGAGGGCAACTTGGTGCCTTATCTAAGCCTCTCACGATGGGTCACTTGGAGGGAAAGCCCGCTTCATTGGTCCCTGGACAGGAAAGAGGGGCCACAGTGGGGACAAGGAGCAGTTCTCTGCTTAAAGGGATCTGGCAGCTTTGCATAAAGGACGATGTTTATCCCTGTTTATGGCATATCCCTTCTCCCTTTATAATTCCCATGGCTGATGTTACTTTTTATAGCACGTCTGACTGTCTGGGAAGGAGTCACATTGTTCCACGCCTTAGAAAGCAAAAGGGAAGGGTGAGAAACCTTGGGTAATGCTATCTGCAGAAAGGTTTATGGCTTTCAGAATCGACACAGCAGATTAACTCTGCATGTGTGTGTGTGTTTGTGTTCACTCAAGCACACATTTACAGTACATATGATGTGTGTAATTTAATTGAAAGAATATATATATATATATATATTCCTACAACTTTTTTGGTATATTGAATACGCTGATTAGTAATATTGGTTATTAATGATCAGTTGATTCAAAATTTTAATGTCATTTGTGTGTGTGTGGGGGGGGTGTAGTGAAATGAGAGAATCCCAAATATACCAAAAGCACCTATGAAAAACACTAAAGTTCCTGTGATCTACTTTTACTTTTATTATTGACACTATGTTTTTAGTAAGAAATGAAAGGAAACTTCCAAGTAGAGTTTAATTTTAAAGAGGATGCAGGGTATCTTTTAGAAGATTTTCTTAATCATCTGGATTAATCCTGACTTTCAACTCCAGATAAAAAATAGGATATCCCATAGGGAGGATTTGCAGCATAGGGAATTTTTTTGCCAACCAGGAAAGGCTCCCAGGGTCTAAGTCATTAAAGTTAAATTTATTGGTGATTATGTCTATTTCCTGTATAAAATGAAACTTCAAAACAAACACTTGAAAAAGTCAAGATAAGTCAACTAAATGGCATGTTTTTTATATAAATGTAAAAAGGGGGCCATTTTCAAAAGGCCTCATGGCTTGGCACATTGAATAAAATGAATGTGAGAGCTTAATGTTAACCCCTAACAAATACTGACACAGTTGTACACACACACACACACACACTGCTCACAGGAAATAATAGACAGACTGCCCAGAGATACACAGCTTTAATGGGCTCTTGTGACATTGTAAACCTAGTAACTAGTTTGAGTAGTTGAGGCCGTCCCTAAACCTTCTGGATGGGATTCATTCCATGTAATTCTCTACAGCCCTTTCTAATTGGTTAAGATGTGTGAGACGCCGTGCATTATGGAATCGCTTAGCCATCCGCATCTCACACAGGCCACTTCAAATGAAAAAGAAAATTCTCTTGAGAACAGAAGCCAGCAACTGGCTCTGCCTTATAGGAGTATAGGACTTACCCTTTTCCTGGACACTATGACAGATCAAAACAGTGAACACTAACCCTGCCACATCAGCAATCCCACCTCTGGTAGAAGGAGCAATTATACTCTGAGTAAGTCTGGATGCTACAGACCCGGGTGCCTCAATCTGTATGTGGAGCTTTCAGTCTTGGTTACAGTAAACACCAAGGGGTTTCTTCTGATAAAAACAGGTCTTGATGAAGTTAGGCCATAGCAAAAATAACATACACCAGGTGGAAGGGACATTCACCCATTCAAATATGTACTTGTTACCCACCAAAATATGTATTCTGGTGAATGTAGAAAATAATAAAACCATCGGTATGACAGGAAGGTAACATAATCATCTAGTTCATTGAGCTTTTTCACTTTTCAGTTTGTTACAGTGCTATAGAAACACAACTCCAACCCAAGTCATTATCACAGCAAAACTCAAACCACAGGGTACAGCAATTATTATCCAATGACCATGATGCACACTTAATGCTTGCTCCTCATTCAAGCCGAATACATCTGAATGAGCTGTGGACACCGATGTGCACCTCAGATCAGGTTTGAATTCATGTGTCTCTAAACCAGTGAGCCTGCACATATTTTTTTGCAGCACTGAGACCTCAGCCCAAACCTGACAGCTTGGAAGACACACCCATAGAGGTCCATGTCTTGTTAGAGAGCTGAGTGAACTTAACTATCTGAGTGCTTGTTTTCTTTGGATGTGATGATGGAAAAGGTGTGAGAGAAAGAGTAATTTTTATTGGTAAATAGGATCGAGGGTTACCAAAAAAGTGTAGGAGCAGGGTGATAAAAACACCTTTTTTAAAAAATTTAATTTCCATCATTATTCATAAAAATTAGACTTCGACAATAAATGTATTTAAGAGCAGTGGTTTTTTTCCCCCAAGTATGTTTCTTGAGCCACCTCCATCTGAATCATTGTGTTTCCTTATTAAAAATGCTCTTGCTGCCGGGCCAGCATGGTTCAGTGGTTGAGCGCGACCTATGAACCAGGAGGTCAGGGCACCTGCCCAGAATGCGAGCTCGATCCTCAGTAAGGGGCGTGCAGGAAGCAGCCCATTGATGATTCTCTCTCATCATGGATGTTTCTATCTCTCTCCCTTCCTCTCTGAAATCATTAAAAATATATAACTTTTAAAAATACATTTGCCCACTACCTTTTCCATCCTTCATCCTCCATCCTGATGGACTCCCAGTAATCCTTGTCTGTCAGGTGCTTTCCCCTAAACCCAGAACTGCTTTCAGAGGGGGGCCGCCCTTCACTGACACCTCCAGAGCTTAGCAGAGTCTAGCAGACATTCATGTTGAATGAATGAATGCTGAGTTTTAGAACGTGGAATTTCATGTGATTTCACAACTGAAAGGGTAATATTGTGTTGACATGTCAGTCAGGAGGGTCTGAGCACAGCGTAGTAACCCATGGCCGGAGCACCTGAGCCAATGCTCACGCTCTGTGTATAGGTAAGGGAAAGGGAGCTAGCGTGCACCGGCCACTAACCATGTGCTAAGAATGGCGGAGGGTGCTGACAAACGTCTCATTAAAGCCCTGCAACCACTAGAAGGAAGAAACTGCTACCCTGTTGAGCCATAGTGAACCTCAAGGAGTTAGGCTGCATACCCAGCTTCTCAGACCATAGTAACTGAAGAAAGATCAGCTACACCCAAGGGGATGACCTCTGCCAACTGTTGCAAGTTTGGATCAGAAGGATTTTATACATGCCTATAGTTTCTGCTTTAGCTTGGACCTGCTCTCGAAATTTAAAAAAAAAAAAAATTTTTTTAAATCCCCAAACAGGGAAGGTTCAATGCTTCATCTCTTGGGTTTACCAATTATTCAAAAGCAGCCATTTCCAAAGCACCACTGTGGGAGTAGGCGAGAGAACCCCCTTCCGCCAGCACTCAGGAGTCCCACCCACCTGCAGCTGGGCCCAGGCCAAAGGGCTCCAGGGTCACGCCGGAGCTCCAAGCTTCAGGCAGATGCTCCTCAAGGCTGGGACAGAACCTAGATCCCACGCACAGGCTGTAGTTTCATGATCAAGGGTATGTTGCTCTGTAAAGGAACAAAGAGAGCATTAAAGCAGCCCCAGGCTATTTTCCAAGAGATTTGGAGAAAAAGAAAATTGCATAGTGGTCATGAGCAGAGCGACCATATTGTCTAGAGATTTCTGTATGTGTGCAAATATACATGTATGTATGAACGTGTGCATGTTTATGTCTGGAGACCCAATACAGAACAAAATAAAGTCCCCTCAGAATAGGTTTCCTTCTCTACTTTAAAACTCACTGTTTGATGAGCATGTAGCTGAACAGCCCATTTATACTTAATACATTGCTGGCTATTTCCGAGGTTCCAACACACCCATGGCTAAGATCCCACAGGGGCCTAAACAGAAGAGCCCCACAGCAATCCAGGAAACGGGTTTCAGCTCCTTAAAAGGAATCTTGCAGGTGTGGTCCCACTTAACAAAATGACATCACAAAAATAGAAGGAAAGAATAGGGGAAAGTTTCAATATCCCTTTTAAATTACATTTCTCTTATTTTATTACAATGAAATAAAATATTTTTGGAAGGCTGAGAGTAGGTATGAGGAGTCACTCTCCACTTTAGTTACTATTTAATTATGTCTAAACTTTTCTTTAAAAATTAAGGTCTTTTTCTTTTTTTTTTAGCCCTCCAGGAATGAGCATTTCTACGGTTCAACTTTCTTGCTGAACTCACTCTGCTTACCAATTTTTCCACGCACATTTTTTTTAAATCACACATGCTTTTTTTTGAACCTTTCCAACTACATTTACAAAAGTTTGGGTAAGCAGCAGGCAGTTGCAGGGCATGGAGAAATAGACCAAATTCTGCAGTGTTTTAACAGGGATTTCACCTGCCAAAGAAAACTCTGACATTAGCTGATTGTTCATTGGTGAGGTGTTAGCTTGCAAGCGGGCAAGAGAGATGTTATCCTCCCTTTCACCTCAAAGGAGAAAACCTTTTTGGATTAACAAGGAAGTGACTTAGAGGGAGGCCTTCCCCACCCCTAACAATTCAACAGCCTTTTAAAACTTTATAGTCTCCTTCCAAAACCACCTTCAGTATCAGAAGAATTCTAAACCACATTTTTCTAATCCAGGATTGCTCACAAAAATCAGGCCCACGGAGATATTTTTGGTAAACTTTGCCTCCATCCTAAGAAGGCTACACCAAGCAACACCCAGAATTGGCCACCAAGGGGCAAAGGCAGCATGGGGTTGTTTCCAGGTCAAGCATACAGCACCGGCTTTCCCTTACCTTTCCCCTCACTTCCAAAGAGAAGGTGTATGTGTCCCTCATAACTGGACTTGGCAATGTCCCTCCCCTTTGCATTGACCATAGAGTTGACCAACTCCTCCCAATTCCCTCTGCCTGAGATGCTGTTTCCTCACTTCAGTGTCACTGAGCTATCAGGAAGGCCTTCCCTGACCATCCTACATAAACTAGCCCACCAACACCATCTCTCTCTTTCTCATTAATGTCTCATCCTGCCTTCTTCTTCCTTAACCCTGACTTGCTACATTTGTTTGTTGCCTGATTTTCCCCAGTTTGAATGTCACTGGGGACAAGGATTTGTATTTTTGTTCAATGCTGTATCCCCTAAATGCTGGGAACAATGCCTGGCAAATAGGACACCTTTATGAGATATTTGTCTTATGAGTTAATAAATGAATTAGGTACGAGGACTTAACCTGGAGTGTCAGAAAGGGTTTAGACTATTTATTGAAATTTATGCTATCTTGTCCCCAGACTTTGTGTGTGGCCCAGAGGCAGGGCATCACACTACAGAAGCTGGGGGACTTCCTTTAGGCTCTGGGAAAGTAGGGTTGGTAAGTGATGGGTGAAAGGATAAACCTCACTGTGGCCTGGTCACAGTTTGAAGTCCTTGGTCTACATAGGAAGCCCTCTAGAGAATGGCTCCACTTTACTTTCCAGCCTTCTGTCTCTTGGGGTAAACATATACATCCTCAGCCAGAGTGAGCTATTTTCTATTAGGTGTGTTCACCCCACCACTCAGCTCTACTTACAATTATTGCCCCCCCCCAAAAATGTTCTTTCCACCCTTCCCAACTTTCCTGTCATCCTTTGCCAATCACCACAGATGTAAATTTCATCTCACCCCCCGTTCAAGGCCTCTTCTAGGAATCCTGCCTTCTGTGACACTCTTCACACACCCACCATCACAGTCACAACCACCACCCTGGCTGGAAGGAACCTTCCTCTCTACTCTCACTGTTTCAGATCTCCAGTTCTCTGATCCCAATAATACTCTTTACTGAGTACTTGAAGGTTTTGGTTGTTATTTGCTTATTTGTTTGTTTTTGTATGAGCTTCAGCTTTGCAATTAGACCAAACAGCAGTTTCCCTTGTTTTTATTAATCTGCCTCCACCAAGTTTACATGCCCTGAAGTGTCCTAGTTCTCAGTGACTCTCAACTGCAGTGCACACCTCCCAAGTGGGGAGGGGCAGGGATGGTGGTGGAGTCTGTGGTCAGGAGAAGGTGTATAGTCTACTAATAAAAGAGTACTCTACCTCTTGCCATCCCACTCCATAATTTCTGACATCCAAAATAACCTCCCCATGCATGTGATTCACCATATTAAACTAGAAACGGCTTGTGTATTATTCACCATTGCATCCCCTACCTTGTAACACAGTGCCTTGAATGAAGGAATGCTTCCATAGGAAACCTTCCTATTGCTTGCACCTATCACCTCCCTGAACCCCGCTTTGAAACACGCATCATCCTTAAGGCAGTCTATAAAACACCTTCATCTTTAATCCTTATCCCCCTCCACAGCCACACACCCCCTCTGACCAGGCATTTATCTCAGGGCACAAAATGCTATTTGCCTGCTGATCAAAGGCTGTGGGAATGGGCGGCATGAGCAGAATGGCAGCTGCGCTCAGATCCTGCCCACACCCTTCCTGTTTGCAGCAGCCCACCCCAGGGGCTATTATGTTCTCAGAAGGTTAAGCAGAGCCCCTCCTCCACCTCCTCCTTCCCTGGTCCTCCCAGACACTCTGCGGGTCTGAAGTGGCAGCCCCTCGCCCATGGAGCCTGCTTTCAGCGTTTCATTGTCCCCAGCGAGGCGCAGATAGCAGGCCAGACGCTCCTTTCCCCTTTCCTGGGACGCTGATAAGGCAATGAAAACAGTCCTCTATTTTCCTGCACAAAAGCTGACTTAGAAGAATGGGGTGGAGCATAAGTGATAACTGGCCAGAATTTGTTGCTTTGTGAAAAGAAATGTGGTGGGGAGGGGATAAGGAAGACTGAGAGCTTTGAGTTTTTGCTCTGGGTTGTAAAATCCGCCACCCCCCAATGACAATGTCCCCTTTCCAGCCTTAGAGCCTCATTTCACTTCTGTAATGGAAAACGCTGCCCTCCGGTCAGCGGGCCACAAACCTCTCCTCCTGAGGTTGGCTGGGCCACCTGGGAGCCGCTTATGTGACCCAGTTAACCACAGCGTCGCTTAGGGGTTGGAATTAATGGAGAGGGTGGAAGACAAGAATGCCTTCCTGCACATTTAACCCATTCCCATCACATTACTTGCCCTTTTGAACCCCTGCTTGGTCGATTTCACCTCAAGAGAGTGTGCATTCATGTGGGAGCTTCATCAACTTCACATGATCTTGGTTATGTTCCAAGAGTCCCTGGACAGGGGCTTTTTAGATAAACAAAACAGTCTGGAGTTTCCAAGATGTAGTGGATGTTTGGTGAACGCAGAGGTAAAGCAATGGGGTGAAGAAACAGAGGGTTACATACGTTACTATCTGGACTGAAAAAATGAGATGAAGGAGAAAAATGGGATTTAAAAAACAACAACACACCTTTCTCAGTGGCAGCACCCTGCCCTGAGGCTGGTGCTGGCCTCTCTGCCACCACTTGTTTGGGAACCTGGTGCAATTAATGGAACCCATAGGCCTTATTTTCTTTTTCAGAAAAATAAGGTCGTTTCCATGAGGCCAATTCAAGGAAATAAATTGGTCTAGGGCAGTGGTCGGCGAACTGCAGCTGGCGAGCCACATGCGGTTCTGTGGCCCCTTGAGTGTGGCTCTTCCACAAAATACCACGTGCGGGCGCGCATGTACAGTGCGATTGAAACTTTGTGGCCCATGCACAGAAGTCGGTATTTTGTGGAAGAGCCACACTCAAGGGGCCAAAGAGCTGCATGTGGCTCGCGAGCCGCAGTTTGCTGACCACTGGTCTAGGGCCACGTCCCAATATTGGTACTGTTTTCAAAAGCAACCAAGATAATTCCAATGTACAGACAGGGTGGAGAATCAGTCAACAAGATCATCTCTACGGTGTCTGTTAGTTCAAAAATGTTATGGCTCCATAGTTTAGGGTCTAAGTTTTTCTACTTTTTAAAAACATTTAGGTATAATCACTATACATCATGTTAGCTTCAGGTGTACAACATAATTATTTGATATTTGAATATATTACAAAATGATAGTAATTCACCACAATAAGTCTAGTAAACATCCATCACCACCAAGTTTCTCTATTAATCCTCATTTATGTACAAACTTGATGACCAGCTCCTCCCTAGGACTCCATGTCTTCCTGAAATTGGTGGCCAAAAAAATTCAGCAACTGGCTGCTGCTACTTCTTCTCCCGCTCTCAGACATATGAGCAGGTGATTAAGCATTTGCTCAATCCCCCAGGGACCCAATTTCACAAGGTATGTAAGGTTGAAGGGCTCTGGGAGAATTCAAGCAGGACCATATCCATGAGGTGAACTAACCCAAGAAAAATATAGAACTCCAAGGAAATAGTAGCAGTGAGGAGAAGAGGAAACAGCGGTAGAACAACTCTACTAGGCAATTTAGATTCGAATCCATTTTTCATCATGAATAAGGCTGCACTAAACAAGGCAGCCCCTTAGTCACTAACAGGGACGTGCCTCCTCTACTTTCCTTGAGAAAACATTTGATTATCTTTACAAACCTCACTATCTTAGTTTTTTGCTTCCTAAATTGCAACTAAATTATTCTAATGATTTTTCTGTTCCCTTTCTG